ACACAAAAAATGAGGCTCTCGTGTAATACAAAAGTATCCCGCCAGTTTTAAAAATCACTTAAAAGAAAATAATAAAATACACTGAAAGCAAGTTCCGAACTTTGTGGAAAGACAAGGCCTATTAAAATCTGAACTAAAATCCAATTCTGAGTGGGAATTACAAAGATCTGAGAAAATGGCAAGAAAACACTCACGGATCATAAGGGTCTTTTTCACTTTTTAATAAGAATGTCTCAAGGACAGCTGCTGATGCTGAAGTGAGTGAAGAAGACACAGGTCTCAGCAAAAAGCACATGGGAGCTACTCTAGAAAAAGAGTAGGATCCCTAAAATGCCAATCTGATAGCCAAAGTGACCGCTGATGAGAAAAAATGAAGAGGACCAGAGGCCAAAAAGCATACAGAAACATCGTGGCTAAGGTCCTGAGTCAGGATTAGGACGCAAAACAATCTGAGAACTGAGGATATATTTTGAAGTTGTGGCTCAGGCCCTCCATTTCATCACTGAAAAAGGCACAGGAAGCATGTACCTTCCTATTTGAGCACATTATTTAGAGAGTTGAAGAAAAACTGACTAAAATGCAGTTTTCTTATGTGTCTTACCCTCTGCTGGGGGCAAAACGGAAGGTCTATGAAAGGTGGGCATTTAACAGTTTCCTCCCAATCTTTGTGCATCAAGGAAATAATTCTCTCAAGAAGCATAGGTAGTGAAGTCTCAAAATACTATAAATACAAGGAATACAGCCTTGAGCCTTTGTTGGGAAGGGCAATATATAAATCAAATTAAAATAAACAAATAAATAAATAGGTACATGTCACCCCTAGAAACATTACTGGAATTTCTGTTCCTCTGGAAGTATCTGAAACAGCATGTAATTTTTTAAATTAGGAAAAAAGTGAAACAGCACCAGTATCAGGAAATGATCCAAAGTATATGTCGCATTACAGACTAATAAATCTTAACAGGCATGTCAGGTGAAATATAAAACCTGGAGCACACTTCAGCTACTTAGAGAAACAGCACAGCTCTATCAAAGTACAAAGTACAAAGAAAGACATGTGAAAGTTTAGAGAAAAAGATTATTTAAACATCTGGAAAACAGATTTTAGTGAGCTTGCACAGTGATATATAAATCGGTGTTGTAGCCATTTCTATACTTAGTGCTTTAGCTACTCCTATACTTACATGTTTCTCTGTGTAAAAAGGCTGCTATTTGCTGCAAGCTTATTAGCTTCAGACAATTCCACTATTCTTTGCTCCAGTGACCTAATCTTCGAATCCATGGCATTGATCATCTGAAACAGACCAGTCTGCTTTCAAGATTACATGGCAAAAAGTGATGTCAGCAAGAAAGCATTTAAAAATAATTTCCAGAAACGTTTTTATGAAAACAACAAAAAACAGAACAGATTAAGTAATCAAAAAGAGCCATCAAGTATGCGGATATTACAGCAGCCTATATCTGTTGTCCAGCCTTTTCCATGCCTAAAGCAGTAAGTCCACGTGTTAACAATGCATGGTACTCCTAGCTTGGAACATAGCAGGCCTGGATGACTTTCATGGAAGGGAATATTCTCAAAGACACACTGAATTAAAGAACATCTATCTCAATTTTAAAAAGGCCACATGCAAGAATGCCAAACAACAAACCAGACTTTAATATTAGGAACACGCTATGGTAAGATTTTCTTGTTCCCTATCAGCTACTCTTAAAATATTTTGATTTCCAGTTCAGTGACACCTACCGCCTTCTGTTCAGCCAAGAGTTTGCACTTCTCACGTGCTTCTTCTTCATGTCTTCGTAGTATATTCTCAAGTGCCTCTTTATCAGCAAGATCTTTTTTCATCTGATTTTCCAGCACCTAAAGTAAACAAAAGATCTCCTTCTTCATACTAGCTTCTCTAGTCAAATGTAATCAGAAAAATGAAGACACAAGGGAAGGTATAAATGTGCTGACAGGGGCTGACCACTTCCCAAACAAAATTATATACAATATATAATGGTAAGAAATCACAGGAATAAAAGTATTTGAAGGCAGTATTCCAGCTAATTCAAAAGATAAATGAAGGAACACAAAGCTCCTGGAAAGACTATGGGTTGTTACTGTTTAGTTAAAATCTAAAATTATGATAAAAATAGACCAGATTGATAGAAACGGAAAATGAAGTCCTCTATTCACAGAATAAGCATGGCACAAGAAGTGACAATATAAGCTTCCTTTAAGATATCACACCAATATGCTTCAGTACTGACCTAAAATGTATGAAAAAGTAATTTCAGCCCTCACACCTACTTAAATGCTGAAATGTATAATAATGATGTCAAATTTAAGAGGCCTATATTTATATGGATATGTGGCTCACCAGAAACTGGACTGAAGCAGTCCATTTTAGCTATTATTTGTTTATTTAAACTCATAATTTGCATACATGCCAAGAGTTTTATGTAGATGTATTTTAAATAAAACTGTTGGGGAAAAGGTACTTAATTATTTTTCATATTGTAACAAATTTCAGTGGCTTAACTCTGAAGGGACTAGGAAGGTTGTATTTCATGGTTTGATTTACAGCAATGGTAGGATGCCAGGAGGACACATTTCGAGTCAGTTGAAAAATCTCAACCAGTTTTCCATGGCCAATATTTCAGACAATCTCCCTTTGGAAGTACATCTGCATTTCAAGCCCACTCTTCCCCTCTCTAAAACTGAAAACAGACTTTCCTTCTAATCCCTTTCCTGAGATCTAGCTAATCATCATCTCCTATCCTCTACATCCAACTACTTGTTAAAGCATGGATTATTTTTCAATTTAGAAGATTTTCAACAGCACAAAAAGGAGAGTTACTGACAATCAGTGGAAGCTCAGTAACTACGTCCTTCCATCCCAGCATGTCGAAGCACTGCTGCTAAATCAACTGGAGTTTCTGGTCCAACAGCATGCCTTCCCTCTACTAATTGTTTTCATTAGCATCCTGTCCTCCATTTACCAGTCCAACATAGCTTTGTTCCAACTTTCACCTAGGTTTCTACTCCTGCCTATCCTTTCAAATTACTGCTTCCTTGGTCTCCTTCTCCCCACCAAATTTTGACTTTAAGCTTTCAATCATGTCTTGCATAGTATTTGTGTTCTAATCTGCCAACCACCCTCTCAGTTCTCTTCCTTTTCTCCTTCATATTTTCCTGCAAGGAATTTCTCTTCTCCTTTTATCATCATAATATCCCCTTTCTCCTTAGCAATTTTCTGAATAACTTCTTCAAACTAAGCTCTCTGAGCTAGTGAACATGGTCTTTACATCTTTTAAGTGCAATGAAAATACATAGCACTATATAAATGCATTAAATCATAATAAAAAAGGGCTGGAGATAACACTTAGCAGACAAAAAACCTTATAGAATGCTTTTGCTGAATGATACAGTATTGATTCTCTAGATAAACTCTGAAGTCTACCACATGCATTTATGCCTCCTTTTTGGCTTACCTAATTTTAGATGATGTTCTCAGATTCTATTTTTGAATGTTTGTTAAAATCTTAAGATATTCTAAAGAAGAGAAAAATAGAGTAGGTGGATCCTTTGACTTCTTGGCAGATGTTATAGCTCCAAGATGAGATTTCAAAAAGGCTCTTATATTTGCTGAATTTAAATCCACCACAGTAAGCTCGTAGGAAAGGAGGGCTGGAGGGGAACTCACAAAGTCATCTAGTCCAGTCCCCGGCTCAAGGCATGATCATCCCAGACTAAACTATCCCTGCCATCTGTCTAACTTGCTCTTGAAAACTTCCAAGGATGGAGATTCCACAACTTCTATAGATGTTCAAGCATTGGAATAGATTATTCTCATAGTCAGAAAGTTCTTCTGAATCTCCAATGCAAATTTCCCCTGCTAAAGCTTAAGGCTGTTGCTCCTAGTCCTGGCCTCTATGGCCACAGAGAAAAGCTCATAATCTTTTCTATAAATCGACCATTATCAAATTCTGCCCCCTCAATCGTCTCTTCTCCAGGCTAACTAACTCTAGTTCTTTCAACCTTTCCCAGGCCCCTGATTAGTTTGTTGCTCTTCAATGGACTCTTTCCAATCTGTTCACATCCTTCTTGAAGCATGAGGCCCAAGCATACATTGTGTTAATGCTCTTAAGATCAATGAAAGTTAACTCAAAGAATCACAAGTCCCTCCAAAGGTTTTCATTTCCACCAACTTTATAAGAATAATTTGCTCTAAATGTCTGCTCAAATTACTATAAATTTGACTTACAAATCTCATATAGATAACAGTCTTACACTATAGATGAGGGTAATAGGGGTACATGTTAGAGAAGCAGTTATTCAAATATTACTTGACTTCCTAAAGAAAACTCAGCAAGTGTGACATGAATGAGCAAGCAGTGCCAATGGAATCAGATTCCAAAAGCAACTATTTGGGTTTAATCCAATACAACAGTCTGAAGACAATGAAAATGTATCTTTACTTTGAGTTTTTCTTCATAGAACTGCTCTTTTTGTTTTAACTGCAACTCCAGATGCTGTGCTGCAATTTGTGCCTCACGATGCTTCTCTTCCAGCTCCTGAATACAGCAGAGATTTATGAGAGACAAAAAGAAACAGTATACACAGAATTTTCAGTATATGTAGCAAATACTCATTCTCTCTTATTTCCAACATAAAGCTGAGGCCTTGGATCTCAGCAGCATGTAATATATCATGAAATTATACATGAACACTTTAACAATGTTGGTCATATGCGCTGGCCTAGATTCTGGGTTAAGTGGTCTAATGAAAAGAGTAAGGAGATATTAGAAATAACTAGTAGCAGATTTCACTCCAGCCAAAAGCTGCCTCCAGAGCCACTGCATCCCAAACATTCATAAAGCATTCCCAACAATGGAGCCAGAATTATTTGTGATAACAAGCAGCTACGAACAGCTTATAGCTGTGATAGAATTACTTAAACTCCTTAGTTCCATTTCTGAAAATTTCTCTCTTTGGGAGGTTCTTAAGACCCTGAACTGAGAATCATGCAGAAAACCCCTACATTTGTGTGATTCTCCCTGCAGTGAGGCCTTAATAAATATGCTTCTGATTCCACATTTCTAAGGAGAACTGTTTACCTTCCCATATATCCTAAATGCATGCTCTCAGAATTAATGTTTATAAAATGATTTGTAAATTAAAGCTTTCAGCAAAATATATATTAGGACAGGGATCAGCAACACATAGCTCGCAGACTGCATCCAGCCTGCAAAGCCATTTTATTAACTCACAGAGCCAGGGGGCTTCCATGGCATTTTGGAGTGAGAAAAGAAGGGTGACTGTAGTTGCAGCTGTGGCAGCAGTGGCAAAGGCATTTGGCAGCAGCCTTTGTTCAGAATTATGCTCTGTTAAAGTGGCCCCTCAATTCAAAATGTGGCTGGCCCTGTATTAGGTGGTACATTCATGTTTTTATTTTCTTTGGCTCACAAGGGTGGTTAAGGCTTAGAGCATAGTAAAAACAGCATTGTCTTGAAAGTAAGCTAATTTTATAAGAGAAACAGCATTTTTGTTCCCTGAAGTTATTTATGATAGCTACAACAGGCTTGTCCAACATATGGCTTGCCATACAGCCCGCCATTTTCTGAAGCCCGAGGCCCCTCGCTCGGGACAGGCAGGTGGGGGAGGGGAGAGGAGCTGCTCACCCCTGCGGGGCTGGGCTTGTCAGGTCCCGCCACCGCAACCCGAGGGCTGCGCAGCGCGGGGCTGCCCCAGCCGTGCCTAACGGGACGAGCTGGGGACAGCGCCTGCTTTTACTTCTCTCCAGCTCGGCCCCTTGCCCCCGGCGTCCCACCGCCTCCAGGGACCCACCGGGCTCAGCAGCCACGGGGCAAGAACAGGGCACGGCGCCTGGTGCAGGCAGTCGGCAGGGCAGCCCCGGGAGGGCCTCGGCAGGCGGGATCCTGGCGTGACCTCTGCGGATCAAGGTGACGGGAGCCGGTGTCTGCTGGATCCTGCGCTCTGGGCTTGCAGCGCGAAGGCCGCCAGGGCTGCGTGTGCAGGCGGCCGGGCACCACAGTGAGCGGGGCTGTGCAGGTGACGGGCTGCGGTGCAGCGGCTGCCTCACTCCGGCCCCCCTCGGGCAGTGCCGGCTCGTGGGGCTGCACTGCTCGGGGGACGGGGATGTGAAGCTATTTATTTCTCCCTTCAGTCTCTGGGGCAGTAGCTGGCTGGATGCAGAATGGGTCCCTCCTGCCCCTGCCCACCAGCAGCTACCATTAACCTTGCAGTAACAGGCAGGGGCCGTAGGGGTGGACAGGCAGGCAGGCAGGTGCAGTAGGGCTGCACAGGCAGGGTCTCTCTGGCCCAGGACAGAGAGTGTTTGAATATGGCTCGCTGGCCCACTGGGTGATAAAAAGTTCATGATCTGGTCCCACATTCAAAAAGGTTGGACAATTCTGCTCTATAGTCTCTCTTAAGGTTTCCTCTCAACAGTTGAGAATTTGAAGAATGTTATCCTCCTTCCTGGCTAGGTTTGCCATTCTAAGTCTCTTTACAGCCCAGGAGGCAGGTCCAGATCAATGGATTGCCAAAAGCAAGCTCCAGATTTGGATCATGTCTGAATCACTTGCTAGACTTCCTATCTGCACAGCACAGGATGATTCCCTGATATTTCTTCATCTGGCACTTTGCATTTTTTATCCTCTGATCTTCCTTCCTCTGATCTCAGGAAGCTACCTTGGGAATAACACAAAGCTTTCTTTGCTCCAGTCACTGCAGTAGCCACCCTCTGTTACAAGCTATAAAACATAAGGAAGTCCATCAAAAATTAGCTATCTAGATGGAGCCAGCTACATGTAGCGGCCTAAACTGCTGCATGAAGGGGAAATCACTATTTTCTGCAATTGGAAACTCTCCCAGCAACAAGATGTCAAATTCAGCTCACACATGGTCTAGATCAGTGGTTCCCAATCCCAGGTCATGACCCAAATGTGGGTCGCAAGGGCAATGCTGGTGGCGCTGCACAAAAAAGATGAGCCGTACCGCACACCGGGAGCTCCCCCCGCCCCCGGGCTGCTGCCATACTCTGCTCCCAGCAGCGAGGCACGGGGAAAAAAAGTGGTTAGGAACCACTGGTCTAGGTCCTGGCAATGTATTCGCCAATCAGAACTACCACCAGATTTTTCTTCTGCAGTGGCATTTTGCAGTCAAGGTGGGTTTCTCCCTCTTGCCCCATGTCCTACAATCCACCATGAGGAGCCAAACAGCAAAACCTAAATTGCCCTTTAACTTTTATACACCTCGACCTAGATATTTCCTTTCTGCAATTGTGTTAATCCAGCAGGCCTCATCAAGTGCAACCAGAGATCATTCCCGCAAAGCAAGCTTTCAGACATTTTTCTCTAATAAACGGAATGGCTACCATATTTACTCAAATATAAGATGACCCTGAGTATAAGAACCCCCCCAATAATTAGATTTTATATATAGAAAATGTATAAATTTGTTATAATTTTCCAGGTATAGAATCTAATTTTTGGAGGTTTGCCTTGAATTTGCCTCCTTCCCACTGCTACAGCAAGGAAAATTAATCTGGGGGTCAGGTAGCTCCTTTGTCCTCTACTTTCCCCTGCAGCCCCTTATCTTTCTCCTTACTGTCAGACCCTGTTCTCCCCCTGAACAAACAGAACCAAGGAACAAATTTGAAAGTAATGATCTTAATATTAAACAGGTGCAGTAACTGTCATATAATGCCCATAAGCTTCAGTTCATCAGAATTGATGCATGTTACCTTTTTTTTTTTTTTTTTTTTTAAACTGCTGAAAGTTTTAGCACAGGTACTTCATAAACACACTTTTAAGAAGCACTTTGGCATCTATGGCTGCCTTTAGATGAAATGAGGGGCATGTGTGCATATCACTTTAAGGCAGGCTAAATGCTTTTGCACCGCTTTAATGATGTCAGTGTTTGCATATGTCGGCAGCATATTGCACGTTAATTCCAGCCGCTGTAGGAAATTCGGCAGCATAATGTGCCTTAAATGACTCGGGATGCAGCAAACAAACTCCTCTGAGGAGTTTTAGTTTGCTGCCCCTACAGCCGCAGAGTGAAGCACCGGGCTCCGTGCAGCTCAGGGGCTCTGCAGGAAGCCCTGCAGGCAGCCTGGCAGCAGCCCGGGAAGACAGGCTCCACCTACGAAAAGTGGTGAGCCTGATCTTTCCCTCCCACACCCCCTGGAGCCTGCCTGCCTGCAGGGGGCCCAGTGCTTCCCTCCATGGCTGCAGTGCCCCCCAGGATCGCCCGAGCCAGGTGCCACTGAGGGTGGGGGGGCCTGCCACTGCCACAGAGGGAAGCACCAGCCCTCGCCTCAGAAGCCCAGAGACCACTCCGCCCGGCAGCAGCTCTCCCTCCCCTCCCCGCCCTGCCACCAGAGGGGCAGGTACGTCAGCAGGGTGTGTGCACGACATGGGGATTTAAAGGGCCCTAAATTGAAACAGTGTTTTTAAAAACCCACCGCTTCAATTTAGGGCCCCCATTTAATCTACACACGGCCTAAGTATATACAGTATAAACTATTCTTTCTTTTTGTTTGCAAAAATATTTATTTCTGTACATATAAATTGTTACACATACAACTGTACTACCTTTTTTTCCTTTTCTTTTTTTTAAGGAAATTTTTTTGTGTCTCAGGTCAAATTAGCCAGATCAGGTCCAAATCCATTTATCATCCAAGAACCATACGTGGTCCTGCTACCAGCAAGTATCCTCCACCCTAGCCTGGGGCTTCAGATACTTCCAAATCCTTTGACAGGTGTCCTACATGTAGGCCCAAGCCCGGAGACATGGGGTTTGGATGCCCCCAAGTTTGGCTTGCCCTCAGCCATATGGCCGCAGGAGCAAGCTAGGAAGGAGTGTCCCATTTCCATAAAGTCAGCATGTAGCTGAGATCCTCCCACTGGAAGCTGGCCAGTGGGAAGCTAACTATGAGGATCTTGTAGGGATTCCAGTCCACAAACAGACAAGGGTGCAACCCTCCACTACACAGTGCCATTTTAATTGCATTACCTTAGTCAGCATATTTCGCCTATCACCATCTGCTCATGGTATTTCCCCTGCCAGGTTATTCATGATATTAAATCCAAAGCCAAAAGGATCATGATTTGCTAGATAGTTCATTGGGCTGGCCCCACAACAATCAATGGGATTTCAAGTCATGGTGATCCCAGAGCTCAGCACTGTTCACTATGCGCGCGTATTCCACATACCCCCACAAAGGAACCATGCTCCCCACTCATGACTGGAACCAGATGTTCATGTGATCTGGGATCCTCCAAAAATTTATATGCAGATGAGGGATAGGGAAACCCAGTCCAGCTTCACTTCATGGAGGGCGGGGCCACACTAATCATATGCACCAGACTGAGAAAGGGGCCAACAGAGGGATTCTGGGTAAACTGTTTAGGGCCCCATTTGGCAATGTCTGCCAGACATTTAAGGCTGGTGAAGAAATAAGAATCATTGGAAATGGGAAAGAAAGCTGCAGACTTAGTGTAGTTGGAGCAGGGACAGGCAATTGAACAGGCAATTATTTAAGCAGGAGGGCAACTTAATGAGTTTTGGCAAGCTGTCAAGGGCTGCAAGGGTAGCCCCACCCCTTGACTAGTGCCCCGTCCCTTGGTCGCCATCCTGGGACCGGAAGTCCTGCTCAGTCGATAGAATTCAGAACTGATTTGGCTGACTTGGCCTGAAACACAACATTTCAAGAAGTGGTAGATTCTCATCAGCATGTTTGCTTAATATGAGCTGTGTGTTTTACAGTCATGCTCAGTGTTGGTTGCATTTGACCAACTTCATAATTGGTTTCTGTTACTGAGCACATGCTGCTTTGGCAGCAGTTTAATGACAGACAACGTATTACTGAGGTTTCTTTGTATTCAAATGTAAGACAAGGGGTTTCTCTCCCCACTCCATGCTGACTAGAGGAAAAAACCTTGTTTTGTATTCAAGTAAATATGGTATTTCTTCCCTCATAACCAGAAGAAACAGAGGTCATCTCTGTTCCTGTATCTTCATCCATCCTCTCCCCATTTCCCCAAGGACATTTTGTCAAAGTCCTCATGGAAAAAACAAAGCTATAACACAACCAAGTGTCCTATATGGATTAAACAACCTTTCAACAGGAATACATATAATCTTAGGTTCCAATCACTATCCTACTCACTGTGCCACCACAACAGAACTCAGAAAAGACTTCTATTCAATACAGGAGATTCCAATATAAATCTATAATATTCAGATACAAGTACAAGTGTCCTGCCAGTTCTTTTCTCTCCAGAAGAAATCAAAGGCAGCATTGGTTAAAACAAATTTGTTTAAGAGGGATAGAGAAAATCATCCCCTTCCTCAGAGCAGTCTAGAACTCACAACACAGAAGAGCAAGAACACCAGACACCATAAAAAGAACCCCCTAACTTCAAGAAAAACAACCTTCCTCTTTATTCTTTTCTTTGTCTTTTGAAGAGGCCTAATATTCTTCAACACTGGAGGAACCAAAGGTAGAAATCTCAAAGAAACTACTATATACAAGGTTATTGTGGGTTCCCAATACTCTGCCTGAAAATGTAGGGAATGGTGAAACAATTAGAAGATATATCTGCATTCTCTTGCATTTCTTCCCCATAGGGAATTTAATCAAATCCAAGCAACAGTGCTCAAATACACACAAGAGGCTTATGAAGCAAGTCAAAGTTTTACACAATTTCTAAATATAAAACTGGCTCACTGCCCAGCTAAGCAGTAGTCTCCCACTTACAGTGCCTTCATGTTATCAAAATAGTTTGAAAGAAAGAACACTGCCAAGGACTTATTCTCCCTTTTTTTGGTGTTCAAATGTTCTGATCCTAAAAGTCCATAAATGCAACTCTCTCTCAAAGCAATTATGGATCACCTACTAACTTCAAGAAATGGAATTGCATTAACATTCGGCCTATGTACAGGACATTTCTGAGGTTCTCCTATAGCTGGGACCAATATCAATAAAAAGTACTATTTTTATGGACTTATTACCTGCCTCAGTATGTTCAACATGTTAGTAATCCTAATAGACTTTAAAAAAAAAAAAAAAAAAGCAAAGAAAAAAATGGGGCCCATATTTATCCCACTTTAAGATTAGTCTCATCTTTATTTAGATTAATAAAGGATACCAAATCCAAGATACTGCTCTTGCAACAATACTAATCCACCCTCCCTTGTAATGACACTACCACTAATCTAATTTTTGGAATGAAGAGGCTATGAAGAGGATGCTAAATTCATGATGATCTCATGTCTCCTAATAGGTACATTTGCCATTTTATCACTTCTTCCATAGGATTTTTTTAAACTCGCATTATATCTTTTTGTTCTCCTCCTCAAGCACTGTAGAAAGGTAGCTTAATGAGAGATGATTCATATACTCATAAGAAATGATATAACACTACAATGTAAAATATACTTCATCCCTAGAAGAAGTCTCACTAGGAGCATTTCCCCAAGACAACAGTCATATTTTATGCTGCACCAGTTAGTACCTGGTACATACCTGTAATAAAACATCACTTCCTTTTGCTTGGTAGGTTTGGTCCTGCCTTCTATACTGAAAAGGAAAACCTACTGTCTGAATGGATATTTAACAAACAGAACTCAGGAGTACCACAAATTGATTTACATGCCCTGTCATAAAATTATGGCTTCCTACCTGCAGGAAAGTATAAGTACCACTGGTACCTCTGTTTGATTCCCTTTAGACTAAAAGGACTAAAAAAAGCCAGCTAACCATAAACCAAACCACAAAGACTTAACAGATCTAACAATAAGAGAGAAAATTGTCAACAATAACAAAGGAAGAAGCTGCGTGGGTGAAAATGGATCTCTGACAAATATCTTCAGAGAAAAACAGTTTAGATGACTAATTTTCCTCTACTCCAAAATGTGTTTCAGATAGATCTGACCCACGAAGTCCTTTGCAATTTCATCTCAACTCTAACGATTAATGTTTTCATTATCATACAACCCAGGACTTACCTGAGAAAGTTATGCGTTTGAAATTGTCATTAGAAAACAAACACTATCCTAGTGAGTTAATTCAGTTGAGGCAACTGTTATTTTAGAATAGTAATTTGGGAAGAGGTGTGTGGAGTTGGTTTATAATGAAAGCTACAGGATATAGAATTTAAGCAGTGAAGTTATTTAAAAGATAAAATGTATATTATCAACTGATTTTCTTCAGTTCCACACCATCTTTTCCCTTCCCACACCCTTCTTCTATACTCTTACACTTTATCTTTCATTTCTATCTCTGCTCACCAGAATTTTTTCTGCCATCTGTTGAATCTGCTGAGACTTTGTCTGAATATCTTCCTTCAGTCGGTTTTCCCTGCGTTCCACAGTCTCTAGCCTCTTCACTTGATTCTCCAGAGAATGGCGGCGCTCCTGCAGGGCAATTATAAACTGCTATTGAAGATAACCAAGTCTGGATTACATGTAGCAGTGAGCAGGCTTCAGGAAAAGTCAGCTGAAGCAATCAGTATGCAATCCTCTCCTGCTTCTACAACCACCCCTCTCCCAAAATCTCTTATCCTTGCCATGCACTCATTTTGTATCCTCGTGAATAAATGAAATAATCACCCTAGTTAGATTTCTTCAGATAAATATATATTTAAAAGAATGAAAAACAGATCAATTTCTAAGATCATTTTCCCCATGACAAGTTGCTACCTAGATGCAAGTCATTAATTGTCTTTAAATTAAGGGTTTTCCTGCAGATTAGTCCACTGTAGCCAGAAACACTCTGTTCACCTCTGCTTCAAGCAATTTCTTTTTCATGCTTTCATTAGAGTCTTCGCGATTCTGCAGTTTCTCCAACTCCTTCTCTGCTCTCTCCTTTGCCTGACGGATATTCTGAAGGAGTTCAGTTGCCTCAGAGCTGGCTTTCACAGCCTATGCCAAGGCAAGAGCATGGGGAGGGGGGAGGAAAAATCAATAAATGTTACTACAGACAAACAGGTATAAAGAAAATCTTCAAGGTACAAGATACAGGTATAGAATGACCGCAACTTCAGCTGTTCAACATTCTACATAAAGCCATTATAAAGGCTTGGCCTAGCAACCTAGAATTAGGACAGTGTACAGTCATATGAAGGAATCCAAGTTCCAGTCTATGCTCCATACTGCAATTTTGAGGCTGACAAACATTGGAGCAGATTGTACTTTGGACTTAATGATAAAAAAAAACACTGAAAACAGATCTATTTGTTGGAGAATTGTAATGAAAATGTCATCCCCATTTAGCTGTTACCCTCTGCTGTTCACCCTACAGATTCACTGCCCATAACAAAATCTCCTGTATAGAGAGAAAAAGCAAGCCAACTGAAGGAAGTTCAGAAAACTCCCATAGTGATACATTATAGCTAGGTCCCTCCCCTCAGAAAATAAGCATCTACTTCAGGACCTATCTGAAACATGCATTTTCCCAGAAGCCTTTTGATTGCTTACTAGTATTACAGTGTTGATGAGAGGTAGACTGATGAGAAAATTATGTACCATGGATTGTAAATTGTGTACCATGGATGGTAAACCATGGATGCTTCCGACAGGTTACAGTGTTAATGAATCTGAATCTTGTCATGAACTCTTACACCTATAATGTTCACCTTACTATCAGAGCTGACGTTGTTTGAATCACCAAATCGCTTTCCAGCTAGCAAAGTCAAGGTCAAAGGTGGTCTAGCAAACCAGCATGGTTAGAGCAAGCCAGCACAAAAGGTAGTGTGACTAGCAACAAATTCAGTTGTCTTTGATTTCCTCCCAGCCCACAGGACCAGGTAGCCAGCCACTGTTAAGACAACTGAAGATGGCCTTCAGTATGACTCTGGAACAAGGCTTGAACTCTCACCACTTGATTTGTAGCAAAACACATCAACTGCTCTATCACTTAGAGAGTAAGCCAAAACCAACAGATGTTTTCACTAGTGAACAAACAAGAAATAAACCCTGATATCTCCAGAAACAGAAGGCCAGGCTGGTGTATTGCATGTCACACACCAAAGGTGGCCTTTTAAATAAAATTTTGTATTCATTATTCCAGTTCTGATTCATATTCATTTGTAAAAATAAACACTGTTGACACATTTCAAGAGCAGAAAGCATATTGAGAACTCTAATGATTTCAGATACCAGCTCCCACCACCCCCCTTTCTGCCTCTGTTGTCCTCCAGGCTGTGACTAATTCTATTTTTGAGCGTAAAACAAAGTGCCTCCCTCCTCTGCATTAGAATTTTGCTGGAAAGTCTTATGGAGATTTAATACAGAAATTATTCCTATGAACATTTCCCTCCTACCCCATACACTTTACCTTTGTCAGCTTCTCTTGTAGTTCCTGGATTTTGCCCTGCTGTTCTGCATTGATCTGTAGTCAAATGCAAAGGAGAAAAAATTAAGGGAAGAAAGTCACCAGTATATCACAAGTATGGCAAACTTGTTATTTTTGTCTCTTTTCCCAGGATCTTTGTTTCTCCCTATAATTCCAACCTGCCAAAACAATCTTATGCAGGCTTGATCCTATTTTATTAAGTTCAGTTAGTTTGTCACATTTCTGTCATTAAACAGATCATTCAGTGTGACAATGCATGCAGAACCAAAGCAATTTATTTTTCAAAATAATCATATTTTTCAGTTGCCATTTTGTAGTCATAAAAGGAACCCCATGTGTATCATTAACCCAGCTTCAACATGGACTGCATATAATAGCTTGTCTTTGAATGGTTACTGTAGTTCTATTGAGCACAGACTGACCAGACCTAGCTTTAAGTCAAATCAGACTGAACAATCAGTCCCACAAGGAAAGTGAGGATGGAAGTGTGTTCACACCACTGACCGACCGTAGATATTGTGGGTTTTACCAACAACAACTTGCTCATACAGAATCAGTCAGCAAACTCCAGTAACACTACTGAAGCATACCTTCTCCAGTTTGGTATACAGCTCTCCTGCTTCAGCTTTTCCTTGGTCTTTAGCCTGTAACTTAAATATAAAATATATAACTTTGAGGAAAAGTTTTAGGACCTTGGACTTCACCCAAAATCACCACCTTAGGCAGTTTAAATGTAAACAGCCTTACAGGGAATAAATTAAACTATTCCAAGTACACGCCTAATACAAAATGGCTCTCAATTGTACAATCTGCACTGAGCTTCTAAGGAGTTTTATGCAACTCTGGTGTAGAAATACACTCTAGAAATCAGAGTATAAAACTCCTTTCCCAAGGAGCCTCAACTACCTTCTGTAGCTTGTTGTGACATTCTGTAGCTTTACGTTTGAATTCTTCCGCTGCCAATCGCGACTCTCTCAACTCTGATTCATAGAGATCACTACGTCTGCGAGCTGAAATAAGATCCTCTTCTAACTGATTCATCATCAACCTCATCTCTTCTACCTGGGCTTGATACTCCTGTAGTGGGAGGAAAGGGGTATTACATTTCAGAGATCACAAAAGAAAAAAAAAAAAAAAAAAAAAAAAAAAAAAAAAAAAAAAAAAAAAAAAAAAAGAGTAGTAAACTACAGGACATGCAGGAAAAGAATATAATACAATATGAAAGGGAGAGCCAAACAAAATACTTTATTCTGTAACTCCCTAGCTTGTCCTCCATGGCAGAGCCAATAATTCTTGCTATTTTCAAGCCAATACCTCAGAAAACATGCAAAAGTATAACCAGAAAAACTATTTTGAAAGAATCTACTTAAAAAAACAAACACATGGATCCTGAAACAAAAATTAATCTATTTTCATGTAATTTCTCTCTTAGTGTTATAGTGCCTCTGTGAAGAGGCCTGTTTTTTCAAAGTAAAATTTCTCAAACTGGTAATGTGAGAGTAACCACAAGCCTTAGTAGTAGGAAAAAGGTGGATAAAAAGTGTGTTGTGGCCTCCAGCCATCAACTTGATGGCTTTTTTTTGACAACTATGGAAAGAAACATAAAAGCCTAAACACAAAAGTCCTCCATCATTTTTGAAGAGAGAAGCGGGTAACCTAATAATCAAATGCTAGCTTTGGAGCACAGTCCCTGGAGAGTCCTATTTCCCCTACAAAAAGCCATTCCTCTACATATACCCCTATTTCTGGGCCCTACAAACATAGGAATTAGAAAAAAAAAAAAAGTTTAATACCTAAAAATCAAAGAACAAAAGGAACATTTGAACTAAGTATTCCAGTTAGGTTGTGCATCCAAGGTGATATCAGGTACAGACAGCTCTTCAGATCATCACTCAGGAGTTCATTACAGACCCAGGTTGAATGGTAATTTTTATTAATAAGAATTATTAGAATCCTGGAAATATACTGGTGTTTTACAAAACCAATATAAAAAAAAAAGACATTATTGTCCTTGTTCTAAAACGCTTGATTGTTTCATGTGTATAGTAGCTAGAATGGTGCTAGACAAGTAAATAACATAAAATGAAAGTGGGCAGAGGATTTAACAGGGATTTTTTTTTTTTTTTTTTTTTTAACTCCTTGCACATGAGCCCATATCTGGCTTTCTGTTTTAGTCCATTATAGTATTCCCATTACATCCCATTTTCAAATACACAGCTACAACCCTCATTGCCCACTTCATCGTAACACTTCTAAAGCAATCATGTCTCCCCGATCAAATGCCCACAGAACACTGTCATGATCTCCACTGATTCCATGATATTATAAAGAGATGCTGGTATTGATTCCCAGGAAGCTTTGATCTTCAGTAGACCATCCTTTGGGAGGTGCTGCTAATACCCTGCCATGCTGGAAATTGCCACTAATGGTCTTCTGGCCTAGAATGGCTTTCTGGTTCGTAACGCACACAAAGGATCCAGCTCACTCAATCTCCTAACAAATATCCCTTGTCACTATTCTTGCTACCCAAGCATTTTCTTATTTTTTATATTGGAGGTGATAAAATAAACATTACTCTAGAAAATTCCTTTTACACCAATTGATCTACAGAGAAATAAGAATGCTTTGTGCTCTGCTGAGAGATGATAACTTGTCAGTACTTTGAGAAACACTCAACTTATAGAGCAGTGATTATTTAAAGAGTTACAAGTATGACCACACCTGCCTTTGAGAAAGCTAATAATTTGGAGGTGGTTAAATAGCTCAGTTTGTCTTGATTCTTGCCATATTCAAGGTACCATGTTTAAGAAAATTTCATAATTAGGAGAGAGGAACATGCCATGCAACCTAAGACCTACAACATGTTCTGGCATGCATCTTATTGGAATGCAACAGACACTGAACACCTGAACACTGAGAAGCAGACATGAAGGCTAATCAGAGATTAAAAACTGTCAGAATGAAAATATACATAGTCAAGTTATTACCAGAAGCCAAACTAGAAAGAACAGCCCTGTTTTTCCATTGAGTTTCCAAACTAACGGTGAATAGATGGCATTGCCTTGAAAATACCAAATACTTGAGCTTTAACAGCTTTCCTGAGATTTGTCTTTTTGTGTAAATATTACCCAAGCAGGTTTCTCCACAAGCTTGGCTCCTCTATAGAGGAAATCATAAGGATCAGATCTCTCTCACCCTTTATGTTCTTTCTGCCTTAAACAAATAAGCCAGGCTCTCTTATTTTCCAAGATCCACCTGTTAATGAGTCAGCAGAAATTTTTCAACACATTTTATGCAGCTTGAGGAACCCCAGAGAAACCCTACATAAAAGGTCCTAAAAACCTGTTACAATTCCATCTACAGCACCTTAATATTCTGATTAATCTTAGCCAACATGTACGTTCAGAGATACTGAGTTCAAGTCATGTTGGGATACAAGTTTTATTAAAATTCCTAAAATATTTTTTTCCTTTGTCAAATTTTACGAATCTAAATATATGTATTGCAAAAAACATTCTACACTAAGTCACTTAAAGAAATCCAGCTAATGAAGCAACAGACAGCAAAAGTAGCAAGGTTTAGAACATTGCCATTTTGAAAACAATCAGCTGAATGGATACTTGATATGTGCATATAGGTCTGCTACTTCCAGAGGTTGTATATGCATTTCATTAAATTTTGCATAAAAGAGTAGCTCCTGTCCAGAGACCTATTACCAAGGGTTCTATGCTTCCACATCTCATTTACCAAAATTAGTCAGTTAATATTTGTAAAGTGCTTTGAAGGAGAAAAACAGTAGATAATTGCTTAAAATTGTTTGAACTCCATAGCAAATTGCAATTTATTTCTCTCAATTTAATGCATTTCCATTAAACAATGGGATGGAATGGATTCTGTCCCACGATACTTTTAATCTGAAAATTGTCCACAATGTCATATTTTCATTTAAGTGTGTATTATTTCTTCATATAAACAAGTCTGTGGATTAATGAATTCCTACCACTTTTCTAGATCAAAAAATAACTCTGCAAAAAACATCTACCCTGCAAAGACGCTAAGCCAGAAAAAGAACAGTTCAACAACCTAGGTGGTATTTTGAAATACTAACAAGGTAAGACAATTAGAAATTTAAGTTGGTCAAATTACAACAACATTAGATCTCATGTGGTTACCCTCCACCCCTACTCCTCCCACCCCCATTTCAAAATATTCACTGTAAAGGATTCATGACCTTCTGGTGAGAACTAAGGGGAACCTTGTTAATTCATTTAAAGCTTTATCTATTTTAAATTCTTGTGCTTTTTCAACACAGCAATTTTATTAAAAATATCAAAATTCTCTCCTAATTTTTTTTTTTAGCTATTTTTTAAAGACATTTTATGTGATCCGCTTGATGTATTTCAAGAAAGCATCAGAAGGTCTGAGAACATGTGTACTTTCAATGCACACAAAAGTGATATTTTCTCTTCAGGCACTTTAAGAAACTCTAAATACCTCCATGGTGGAAGTCTTACATCCCATCAGTGAGGTCATGGGCCCCAAAAAGATAAGCTAAAGTAAGTGAGGTGTGAACTTAAGGTACATCAGCTGCTCTGCATTACCAAGTACATGCTCTTACCCTGCAGTAAATGAGGCAATTTTACTGAGTGGGGAAGCTGCCTCACATTTACTTCAGAGTAAGAGCATGCATATAATCAGCTACCAGGAGGTTGTAGATGCACTTTAAGTTAACACTCTAGTACCCCATGGTAACTTACCTGATAGTAACTTGTGTGCCCATATGCCAAAATGTGTTCCTAGCATCAGAAGTGCAAAATACAAGCAGTGCAAATATACTGTCAAGCACTCTGCTACCCAGAGAAGCAGTTATACCTGTTCTTTGATCTCCTGCAGTTTTCGGCTCTGCTCTCTTATATCATGAAGAAGCTGTAGCGCCTTATCATCCTCCTGAGACACCTCCATCCGTGCCTGTTCCAGGCTTCGCTTTAAGCTCTGCAGAAAGCAAAATGCTCAATACACAGATTCTTTGCCTTTGCACATTGTTGTATAAGAAATATCCTCAAATAAAGGAACACAAAGCTTCTCCTTGAGTAACACGAGTCAATATAAATTGAGACGAAGCCTAAAAATTCACTGCTATTGAACTTCAGTTTTTCTATGTGGATAGAAACAGCTCGCTTACAACCAAAAAGCTACAACACTAAGATCTTTATTCAAACCCTATTACTGCCAATCAACTTTGAAGTCAAAGAATGAACACAGGATCCAAAAGATAACCTTTACTGAAATTACTTTATCTAGCACTGTTTATTCATGGCCCTAATACCATCATTCACTGAATGCTACTATTATTACCAAGACTGACATTTTTTCTCCAGACTGGCTGATTAAGTTGAATCCTCTGCTTGTCCTTCAACTTTTTGTTAAAGGGTAGGAGTGCCTACTATTAATAGTAGTAATACTTCTTTTGTTTCAGGCTTTCTAATCTTTGCTTAGGACTTCAAGACAGACTAACAGTCTTGCAACCTACATATACTTATTTATTGTTTTTCATCCAGAAAGATCCAAAACTCTGCAGTCATGTAAAACAGTAGAAATTATAAAATACCCATAGCTCAACCCAACTTCAGATATGTTTCCTAATGTGCATTATTTAATTGTAAAGTTTCCATTTACACAAATACATTAATGCCTTCTGTGCTATTAAGATAAATGAAGTATACTCCATAGGAAATGCCTCTCACACCTCTAAAATTCAGTGACCTCTTTACTGCTAACACTGCAGTTATCTACACCAGCATGCTAAAGACCACCAGTATCCGCACGCTAAAGTTTTGGTGGGAGAGGGAAAGGAAGACAGAAGAATATCATATGCAGCTGAAAATAAAAGGTAGCATTGGTATGTAGAACGTAAACACCCTCACTGAAATTTTGCCAAGACAACTGGGCAGACGTCCCTGGTCCTGTATAAAGTGCCAAAAACTCTTTAAAGACAGATTTAGGGCTTCACTTTTAAATCCCATTTGAAAAGCAGCATCTGTCATTACAGTGCCCATACCACAATGCTAGGGAATTGGATCAGATTGAACTCAGAATGCTACATCTTGAGTCAGCACTTTCACTTCTTGAAACACTTTAGCTACACTTGGATTGACTAACCCCACCTTTGATTCCACCATCTGCTAAGATCAGAACCCCAAAGAAGTACAACATCGCTAGAAGGTCAAGAACAAAACCACCTCAGGGTGCTTCAAGGCAAGCAAGAAATCAGTTATACCTACTTTGTAATTATTACTGTATGATATTCTAACAACATCACCCGAGTTTAAATAAAATCATATCTAACTGTACGCTGAAAACAATTTACTACTCCATTTTCAATAGACAACTGTTCCTCTTGCATCTTCTCTCTTTAGCGTGTGCTGCACTGAAACCTCTATGGAACAGAAAGCTAGAGACCGTCAGATGTAACCCTTCAGAGGGAAAAGGGTAAAGGCTCACACTGCATTCTGTGATGTAGGTAGCCAGATCTTGCTCCAGGAGGGATCGCTGGGTCTCAGAGGCTTTCAGTTCCACCTCCTTTTGGCTAAGTACAGCCTCCACCTCTGACACTCTCCGGTGCAATCGCGTCATTTCCTGCTCCATCTGCAACAAAATTGAAAGATTAAAAGGGATTTCAAAGGCTTTTTTAGCTGCTAACTTCAGTGTACCTCATGTGACAAATTTCAGTCTCAGAGATCCTAGCAATAAATTCTCCAAATGCTGTTTAAATTCCAATACCATTGTGTCTGCTCCTGGAATTCACAGTTCTTCTTAAGGGCAGGAAGTAAGTCTAAGTCACCCCATTCATTCAAGCTGCTTGTTCGTATTCAGTCATTCTTCGAACCCCAGTTAGCAAAGAAGCCACAATCATTTTTCACCTGATTTGCAGAGATGGATCACTTTAACTTTATCCCAAATCCATGTTGGACCAGAAGATGGTTCCCCCCCATCTCCTTGTGAGGGACAAATGGTCAAATCCAGCACAGAGCAGGGAGACAAATAATTGCACTCATAAAAGTCTCAAAAAAGCAGTGAGTTTGAATAGACTCCAGTGAGTTCCTTTTACTCAGGAACCGTAACTGTTATAAAATGTTCACTGTAATCAATGAAGTGGCAACAGTTACATAAGTAGAAGTTGAAGGACTAGGAAGAAAGACTTGTATCACTCAGAACAGAAACCGCTGCAACTGATGAGGAATAAACGCCGCCTGCTGGAAGAAGCAGTTGTCTGTGTCATGCTGAGAAAAGGGCTGTTTAAAATCCAGAGCTTCCTCTTGTTAAGATTAATGTATCTAGAGCAAAGGCATAGCCTAAAGTCATTTCCCTCTGTAATGAACAGGAAGCCACTTGACTGAAGGAAAAGCACTTTGCCCACCACAGATCCTGACGATCAGCAGCATCTGACAGATCCCTTGGCATACATTGGTTGTAGATTCCTGGAGCAATGAGGATGGCCAATCGCATAAATAAATACCTTATGACACTTGTCCTGGGTGTCTTGGAGCTCTTTGCTCTTGAGAAGGAGTTTCTTTTCCATGGAGCTGATTTTGGCTGGAGAGTCCAAACTCGGAACAACGGACCTAAAAGAATAAAGCCAAACAATGCATAAATATAGAAAAAAAAAGGGTACAAGAATCTCCATTTAAAAACAGCCTAATTTAACCCCTAGCAAACACTAGGATTAAATTAAAGATAAAGCAAGTACTATGGTATAACAGCTAGGTCAATCAACACTTTATGTCATTAAACACCTTGTAACTCCTCTCATTATGTAAAACAATGAGAGACATGGCAGGCATTCTTTTATGATTCTTGTACATATTTATAAGTGTGATGAAGCCAAAAGTCAAAATATTTTTACACACTCAAGAAGTTAGAGTTTTCTGAAAATTCATTGCCTGCTGCACAACGTTAAATACTTTTGAAAAAATATAGCATTAAAAAACACACTTGAAAGCTCAACAGGCCTTGCCCTGATCCACAGCAAGCTGATTTTCCTTCTGCTTAGCTTCTTTATTACTGAAGGATTCAAACCATAACCAGTCCACCTCTAAATGCCCCATTTCTGGCCTAATCAAAACTGATATGGTTACCCACATTTCAGAACTTCAGAATTCCACCTATAATTTGTGACTCATGAGGAAAATCTATTTAATTACAGAATTTGCTGCTGTTTGACTCCAGAAAATCAAGTAACATTGTCTTTAGGAGCCAAGAGGCCCACAAGAGAGAGTTAAAGAGATAACCATATCAGTTGGTTTTAAATTCCTTCTAAAAAAAGCTTTACAAGTCGTTCCTTGCAATGCTGAGCAGATTTTGTAGTTTAAAACAAATAGGGGTTTTTTACAGTCTGATTCTAAAACACAACTAAATATAAAATCATAAAAAAATCTACATTCAACAGACACTCTTCTCTATAGCACAACACAATTCAAACTAGATAGTTAAGCAGTTAATGATGGAGCCAAACTTAATAGAAGAAGCCTAGTGCTCACTTACTGTTGAGATTTTAGATGTACAATGAAGGTGCTAATAAAAGAACCTGCAGTCTGCCCACACATTGCTTTCCTGCTTCTCCTGGCCACAGCTTTGGTATGCAGCCAGTTATCCCCATGGAGAGAAATGAGCTTCAAGCAGCTTTTTGCACAGAGCCACACACAGCAACAGTATCTCTTCTTATACCAAGGAAAGTTTGATTCCACTACCACCATTTTTTGAGAAGATGTACTTCCCAGTTGACAGAAACACACAGGGTATTAATCACACACAAGGCAAAAAATGGACTTATGAAACTGCTACAGCTGTACATACGGAACAAATTAGATCTTAAGGAGTGCCACCAAAGCCATTTGAAAACCCAGTCCCAATATGAACATGTAAATATAGCAGAGTCCACTGATTCCAAACCATATGGAAATTTCTAATCCAATTACATCTTTTTAAAGTTATCTAATAAAGAAATAAACCTATTAAGAGAATGAATCCTCCCATATCAACTGACAGGATATGATCAAAACTTATTAAAAGAATAAATCTTAAATGTGAATACTTTTGTTAGGTTTAGTTCTATTGGTAGTCTAACGCATGGGTGGTCAACCTGTGGCATGTGTGCCACAAGTGGCATGGGCAGCCTCTGTGTGTAGCACATGGCAGATCAGAGACAGGGTAGGCAGCAGAACAGCAGATAGGGCAAGGAGCAAAAAGCAGAGCAGCAGATCAGGCCGGGATCAGGGATGGCCCTCAATGAGATTACAGGGTTAACTTGTGGCATACCTGCCAAAAAGGTTGATCCTCACTAGTCTAATAAATCCAATCCCACAGATTATCACCTTTAAAAATCAATTTCACTATACTCCTACAGAAAAAAGGCAACCAACCATCTGAGAAAAATGCCTATTAAACCCCATCACAGCTGAGCATACAAAGCTAAAAATGGATAGCTGAGAAAAACAGCCTAAAAATAAAAAGTAAAGCGCACATTAACCAAAAAAGATGCTAAGTAATCTGCTTTAAAATGTAATTCATACAAATGTAAGTAGCTGCAAATGTGTAATGAGATAGTTCTGACAAATTTTTGGCATTAAAATATTAACTTTAGATTTCTGAACTATTTCAGCTAAAGGCGTTTTTAAAAGAATCATACATCTATATTAGCCATTGCCTTCTTGATTCAGCTTGAACCACAGGCACTAACCCTGTAAACGTTAGCCAGTTCTAACGAAGACGGGGATACACGTTCCACTTGCAGCACTGCTTCATTTTGGTACTTCAGTTTCTTCCCTTGGTGCTTTTTTAAAAGGAACATGTTCATTATATAGTGGAGGCCATTTTGCAATTCATACATTTTTCCTGGAGAGCCAGCTAATAGGTCTAGATGTACAACATAGGGGGTAAGAGGGTAGAATCTATGAAAGAAGACTGAAAATGCTGAGATGACACCCTATTCAATATAAGAGTGACAAGACAGGACAGAGTGCATTGTTACTCTCAACTGACATCTTCTGACCAAAGTTTGGCATGTCATTAAGTGGTTTTGGCATGCTTCTCAGGTACAGTGTGCTTGTTGGGAAGAAAAAAAAAAGAGGAAGTAAAGGATGGCAATCTTCCCCTTCCTCCCAGCCCCCATACCACCCCTAAATTAAGAAATACCTTAAAAATGTGTGTACCACTCAAGGGATAATCCCACCACCTACCATTGGGAATCAGCACCTCTCAACCTCCCATGACACTGGTCTCTAACAAGATTTGTGATACATGCAGTTAAAAGCTGAAAAAGACCACTGAAGTTAATTTCTCCTCTCATGCAAATTATTGTAAGATTGCTTCATGACCACCCCTACCACCTTTAAGTCTCAAGAATAGAAAGTAATCAAGAGAAATGGGATTCTTACTAACCTAACAGAAGCCTTGTCATAGAGCTACACAGTCCCAACAGATTATGACAAGATGTGAAATAAGCATGTTGTAAGGTCATTGTTATATTCCTCTTCAGTCAGAGTTATCTCAGAAATTAAACATATTCAATATGACAGCAAAAGCCACCATGCGAACTTATCACTCAGTTGGTACTGTCTCAAAATATTTAATTCAATTAACTGTTAAATAAGGGGTCAGTTTTCTCAGCACAACAGAGTAGTGTCTGCAATTTCCTCTGAGGTGTGAAGAACTGATTAACAACAAAGGGTAATCAACTCATAAATAAGAAAACTGCAATGGAAAGTCTTCAAGCCTTAGTCTTAGTCAAGTTTATGACAGCAAATGTTAACCATGTGCCATATTTTCAAGAGGAAAAAATATCTTTGTGAGTAATGTGTTTAAATTAGTTTGCTTAAGCTGGTTATCTAATGATCTCAGAAGAACTGAAGCAAATGGTGCAGGAATGTTCATTGTGCAAAGGCTTCTCTTCTTCTAATATTCTGTAGAGAAAAAAAAAAATCACTACAGGAAAAAGTAGAAAAATGAACAAAAGGGTGCAGGAGATGGAAGTTCACAGATCACCCTGTATTATACCTCTTCCTACTTCCTTATTTTATCCCAGTCTCAGAAGCCTCCAACTGATGCCTCTTCCTTCTCCTAGATGTCATAGTGCTCCTTATCCTAATTCTGGCCCCAATACACAAGTCTTTTCCTCCATCCCCCCAATCAATTGTCTCCCTCCTCCATCCCTCATGCTCTATTCATCATCCATACTCTTCCCCTCCTCCAGGTTTTTTACCTGTTTTCTGCTCCCTCTTAAGTGCCTATTCCAGCCTAAAAATTCCTCAACACAAAACAATGATATAATTAAGATGTGAAATACAGTAAACAAATGACAGCATACTTTTGAAGCCTTTGTCTTCCCTTTCCACCCTTTCCAGGGCTGAAACAGTTTTTCGGAGATCTACAAGTTACTGGATCAAATATTTGAGAGAGAGATAAAAGTGGAAGAAACTCTAACCAGCAAAGACTGAGGTAACATACTAGTGCCAAGCTCTGTTGCTCAGAAGGGGATGGGATCCAAGATATTTAAACAAGCTATGTCCCTCTGGCTTAAGGGTTCCCCATTTTGTATCCACCTAGGTATCTGATAAATTTGAAAAACCAGACACCCTTCAAGCTCCTTGGCCCAAATTCTTTACTGGCACAGAAAGCGTAATCAGTAGGGAGGAAAAGAGAAAATAAAGAGATTTCTGCTACTTTAGTCCTCCCTTGCCCTGTTTTTGGGGTGCTACGTAGCCACCAGAAATCCAAGTGCCTACCTCAGTTGTTGCTCCTCCTGGCTTTACTAAGCAGTGGCAGCAATGTGAAAGCAGAATGGCCCTTGGCAGCTTGGCTACTGCCCACTGGGTTCCGAACAGAAGCAGGGAAAGTTATGAGGACCTAATTAATTACACTCTACAGCTGCTTGGCCAAGCTGTGAGCAGCAGCAGAGGCATTAGCTATCCATTTGCAGATACAGGAGACCAGCTCTGCATCACTTAGCAACCAAACGTATGGGGGGGGGGGGGGGGGGGGGAAAAAAAAGATACTA